TTTTTATCCCTAATTTTTGCCCGAACCTTTTTGGTTCGCCGGGATGCCCTTATTTTTGCCTAGGTATGTCAATCTAGCGGGTCTTTATTATGTGTAGTATCTTTTCACTATGTCCGCATTAACAGGGTGTGGAAGGTCGTCTCCATCCATGGCGGTCAGAATCATGGCTCCATCAGAAAATATGTTCTTGACTACAAATGGTCCCTCATAGGTGGGAGTCCATTTTCCCCTGGGATCACCTTGCGGCAGTATGATGCGCTTGATTACCAGATCCCCTACTTGATACAATTGTTATCTGACTTTCTTGTTGAAGGCCTTGATCATCCGTTTCTGATACATTTAACCATGGTAGACAGCAGTAAGTCTTTTCTCGTCGATTAAGTTCAATTGATCAAGTCGAGTCTGGATCCAATCATCTTCGCTCAAACCCGCATCCTACATAATCCATAGAGAAGGGATCTGGACCTCTATGGGTAGGACAACCTCCATGCCAAATACCAGAGAATATGGTGTTGCCCCTGTCGACGTACGTGCTGAAGTACGGTACCCGTGAAGAGCAAACGGTAACATCTTGTGCCAGTCTTTGTATGTCACTGTCATCTTCTGTATGATCTTTTTGATATTCTTGTTAGCAGCTTCAATAGCCCCATTCATCTTCGGTCGGTAAGGAGAAGAGTTATGATGCTAAATCTTGAACTGTTTATAGAGCTCAGTGATCATCGAGTTGTTGAGATTAGTACCGTTATACGTGATGATTCTCTCAGGGATACCATAACGACAAACCAAGTTATGCTTGATGAACCATGCCACCACATTCTTAGTAACCGTAGCAAAGGAGGCAGCCTCAACCCACTCCGTAAAGTAATCAATGGCCACTAGGATGAAACGATGCCGATTGGACGCGGTGGGTCTGATCTCATCGATCATGTCAATGCCCCACATTGCAAAGGGCCAGGGAGCCGTCAAAACATTCAAGGGAACTGGAGCTACACACACCTTATCAGCATAGATTTGGCACTTGTGACAGGTTCGAGAATGCTGATAACAGTCGGCTTCCATAGTGGACCAGTAGTATCCTACCCGTAGGATCTTCTTTAGCATGGTATGTCCACTAGAATAAGTGCCAAAGGTACCTTCGTGTAGGCCTGCCATGATCCTCTCTGCTTTTCTCTTGTCTACGCACCGCAGTAAGGTAGAGTCATGATTGCGCTTATAGAGGATTCCATTACTGAGGAAGAACTTTGCAGCAAACCTTCTCAGAAATTACTTATCATTGACAGATGCCCCTCGGGGTATTCTTGAGCCTCGAGATACCTTTTCACCTCATGAAACCAAGGTTTGTCGGCTACCTCCTCAATATTGATCTCACAACAGTATGTCGGTTCATCTAACCTCTCAATATTGATTAGGGGAGCTTCATTGTCCCACCTAACCTTGAACATTGACGACATAGTAGCTAGCGCGTCCACTAACTGATTCTCTTCTCGTTGGAAATGTTCAAAGGTGATCTCTTTAAAATGCGGCAGCAGTGTCAATACATACTCTTTGTAAAGAATAAGGTTCGGGTGCTTTGTGTCCCACTCGCCCTTGATCTGACTTATCACCAAAGTAGAATCCCCGAATACACTGAAGAACTTGATCCTTAGGTCAATAGCAGCTCTAAGACCCATGATGCACGCTTCATACTCCGCCATGTTGTTGGTACAATTGAAACATAATCGAGCAGTGAATGGAGTATGACAGTCCTCGGGAGATATGATCACAACGCCAATGCCATTACCCAATGCGTTTGAGGCTCCATTAGAAAACATAGACCATCGGGATCCTTCCTCAGTTCCTTCATCCGATCCAGGTTCTTCACAGTCGGTTACTAACATGATGTTCTCATCTGGGAACTCGAAATTCATGGTCTGGTAGTCGTCCACGGCCTGATGCGCCAAATGATCAGCTAACACACTTCCCTTGATTGCTTTTTGGGTTGTGTATTGGATGTCGTACTCGGTTAAGATCATTTGCCATCTTGCTATCCTTCCGGAAAGAGGGGGCTTGTCAAAAATGTACTTGATTGGATCCATCTTAGATATCAACAAAGTAGTGTGGGTCAACATATACTGTCTCAGTCGGCGAGCAGCCCATGCCAAAGCGCAACACGTTTTCTCAAGCAGTGAGTATCGTGTTTCACAGTCGGTAAACTTTTTGCTAAGGTAGTATATTGCGTGCTCTTTTCGACCAGACTCGTCATGCTGCCCCAGCACACACCCCATTGAATTATCTAGCACTATTAAGTACATTATCAAATGTCTTCCTTCAGTCAGAGGCATCAGAATAAGAGGCTCTTTGAGATATTGTTTGATTCTGCCAAAGGCTATATGGCATTCGTCATTCCACTTTACCATTTGATCTTTCTTCAGAAGCTTGAAGATTGGCTCACAAGTAGCAGCCAGATGTGAAATGAATCGGGCAATGTAATTTAGGCGTCCCAAGAAACCTCTAACTTCCTTCTCAGTACGGGGAGCCGACATCTCTTGTATGACCTTCACCTTTGCAGGGTCTACTTGAATACCTTTGTCACTAATGATGAATCCCAGAAGCTTACCAGACCTTACCCCGAAGGTGCACTTGTTCGGATTTAACCTCGGCTTGCACGTTTTCAACCTATCAAACAGCTTTTGTAGATGATCAAGATGTTCTTCCTCAGTTTGAGACCTGGCTATCATGTCATCGACGTAAACCTCTATCTCATGGTGAATCATATCATGGAACAGAGCTACCATAGGGTATATATTTCAGAAATAGTTCAGCTTAACCCAGTATGAATATTAAATAAAGAAATTTCTTAATGCACTCTATATTTTTCTAGCACTTCGCGCGAAAATACTATAATACCTACATGTTTCAGAGATGTATCTTCGGACGCACCAAACGTTTACTAATGAGAAATTATTCCGGATATGTATATTCGTAAAACTTCTGGGGGTATATTTTCATAATGTTACAAAGTATAAGTAGAAAAACATAATCGGAAAAAAAAACATGTTGACAAAATAAAATTAACATTGATATCATAAAATCAGCAATACATAGGAGATTTTAACATAGATCAAACATTACATTTTAATATCCATGTGGACATTGTAACATCTTGATAATATCATCGACCGATCTCGAAACAATCGCATCGAACTCTATCGAAACTTTTGATTATAAACGGAAAAAGATTCTCCACATAGCCCTTAAATCAGCGACTGTCTTCAACTCATAGTTGTTGAACTCAAGCTTCCCGTCTTTTAAACAATTCAAAAATACACTTATAGAGACAACGTAACCTTTTTCAGCATCAAAATATGATTAGTATGAGCAATGCGGTTTGAAATGAATAAAATTTACCTTAAATTCTAATTACTTTTACTCCTTTTGAGTTGATGAAACACAATAATGGATTTGGAGTGAAAACTTGATTGAGAACGAATGGGTTTTCAGAGAGGGTTTTTGGAAGAAAAAAAATGGAAATGAACTCTGATCATGCAGGTGGCTGTTTTTAGCAATAACACATTTGATTTTTCTAGAGATGCATCTCCGGAATAATTTGATATGCAAAGGTGACACATTTCTAAATTTTCGATTCAACTATTCGGACATACATCTCAGGATAACTCTCTGTAATGGTCAATTAACAATTTATTTTATCAAAATTACAGAGATGTATCTCTGGAAAAAACTTTAAATTTGTCTATAGGGTGAAACTATTTTTACTCGTTTGTGTGTGATACAAAATCTGCGTCCAGAAATGTATTTCTGAAAAACATATGACATTTTCAATTTTGCATAAGATTCTTTTGCACTTCATATGGTGCATTAAGAGATTCCCTTAAATAAAATAATAAAAATAACACTAGTAATGGCTGAGTCGGTTTTCTTTCGATTCTATTTTATCAATCAAACCGAACTGTTATTATCAACTATAAAGTTGATATTGAAGGGAAATCCTAACTATATTCTCATGCTTGGGTTAAATACTTAAGGTCTAATTAATTCAATTTAATCAAGAGATTAAAATTGAATTAACAATCCCAAGGGATCATGGTAATCTCACAAGCCATTTATTCAAGATAAAATTAAATTAAATCCTAATATTTTAATCATTTTCCATGTAGAAAAATGTGAAAACAATAAAAACAATTAACAAAAATCAAGAAAAGAAAATTGAGAAGCCCATAGTGGTGTAAGTTGATCCAAGGGTGTGGTAGAAACAATTTGGGGCGCTAAAGCCCAATTAAGTTAGGTCCATGGGAGTTTTATGTGCAAAACAATTTCCAAGTGTGTCAAAAAAATCAACGGTGGGCTTAAGGAAAGAGTGGTTCGATTCAGGTGAGGCCCAGTCCAATATCATCATCAAATTGATTCAGCACTATTGTTCAGTTTTTATTAATCATTTTCTATTAACAGATTATATTCAATAACATTGTTATTATTACCTACATTTAATAATAAGTAAAATCAAATAAAAAACTAAACGATGCAATTTTGTTCAAACGGATAGGGCAAAGAATTGGGACAATGATATCGCGTTCTTCTTCTTCTTCCTCAAAAGCAACAACGGCGCTTCAACACACTGTGATCGTGCCGATATAACCTTCTTCCTCTGTGTTGCTCAAACTCTCCTTCGTGGCTCACTCAAACTTTTCCTTCCCCTCATCTTCTTCGAGTCTTTTTTACCTTCGCTCACCTCCACGTCCTTGCTTTCGAGAATTGACATAATGACTGCAATTAAGGGCGGACAACGGGCCGAATTGGACGGGTCGGACCCGAATGATCAACCCGACCTAAACCACGGATGAGAATACAAAGCCCATTTCCGCCCATTTAGCTGCTACGGATTGGACGGTTGCGGATCCAACGGTTTACGGATTTGCAGGTTGATCTGGGTGGGTTTGAGGTTAAACAAACAAATTTTTCTTCAACAAAAAAAAAACTTAGATTGTAATCAACCAATCAAAAGTTTAATCAAAGAAAAACAAAATATAAAAAATGGATGCTTTTAAAAAAAGAAACCGACAATGAAGAAGGAGGGAGAAAGTGATTTTGGTGATGCTCATTGTGTGGTGTTGTAAAAGAATACTCTGAGTTAAAGATGAATAAGAAATAATGTTGATAAGAAACAATACTCTGTGATGTGATTTTGATGTTGTTGTTTGTTCCATAGTATGAAATAAAACAGTAGAGTTAATAGAAGAAAAAAAGACAGCATTATACTTAGCTGTAATTGTTGACCTTATGAATCGGTTAAATCTCCGCCACAATAATTGTAAGTAAGTTATTCCCTCCTTAACGTCATCTTTATACATTTTATACTTTCTTATTCCTCATTTTATACAATTTTGTTGATATCATTGATTCTTCATTACTTGTTTTTGTCTTTACCCACGTGAATCCATCCATAAGTCAATATTGATTGCCTAACAAAACTTATTTATGTGTTTCTTTCAATGACAATAAATTAAATAAAGGTTAAGTAGTAAATTGTGACTCAAACTTGTCCAACTTGCAGGGTGGTTGGAGGAATCAAACATGTGTTAAGGTTGGTGTTGAGCATAGTTTTTTAGTTTCATGTAGCTGTGTATGTGTTGGCATGGAGAGAATGAACAGTGACGACAGTTCTTCAATTAGAAGGCGTTCGTTGAGTTTGTCAAGTCATAGAAGTCATCACACAGATAATGATGTTGATTGTGAGACTGTTTCAGAAGCCGGTGACATAGGCGATCGAGCTCTTCCCAGCAGAAGATTCAGCGAGAGCAACAGTTTCCACTCAGAAAATGGAACCGCTGTTATTACAAACTCGTCTGTTAGACCTTTGCCGCAACAACTCTTATCCACCCCGCCTTTTTCTACTGATGCAACAGTTACTTCTCAAGACTCAAAACTTGTAAGATCTCTTCTACATACTTGCCATGTCATTCTGATCTCACCTCTCTAATGTTTCTTTAATCATATATCGATTCTTGATTTTGTATACTTTCAGGAACCTCCTAAAGGTTTGCCACAGTTACTAGACTATGTTTCATGTATGGCTCACTTGGCTGTTTTTGGAATTCTTGGGGTAATAATATCATAACCTTTTCACATAACTTATATTGATGATAGCACTTATATGCTAATACAGAAATTGTCATAATAACTATGCAGATCCTCACAAGATATTTACTGCAAAAGTTATTCGGCCCCGGAGTTGCTAATGTGACAAGCAACCATACTATTCTTTACCTTGATCTTCCTTCTAATATGGTATGTCCTCTCAAACAATATGGTAATAACATTCTCAAAAGCTCAATATATATTAAGTTCGCCATAGCTATTGCTTTTCTAACAATACAGTTATAGATTAACGCCTTCTGTAGATGGGTCCAAATTGGAATTTTCTAAATTGAGGTTGAGGTGGTTAGTAATCTTTTTCTCAGGGGTCAGTCAGGACAGAAAAAGATTAGCTGCTTTTCGATTTTGCACATCTTAAATCCATTATCTACGGGATAAACAATAGAAAGGAGTTGTTTTGCATCTTAAATCCATTTTAGATTAGCTGCATCTTTCTAAAATTTGTAGTTATTACCCGAGATATTCAAAGTGACCAAATTTAGAGATTTTAAACTGCTGTTAGGTGAATGTGAAACTTGTTAAGTCCATTTTGAAGTGCACACAAAAGGAACCTGAGTCAGGTAACATGATGCTAATGTGTGTTGTTTATTTTTTTTACATTTCCTTTCAGATTGGTTCATTTCTTATGGGATGGTTTGGTGTCGAATTCAAAAAAGACATATCTCATGTGTCAGAGCATCTAGCCATAGGAATAACAACCGGTTACTTGGGGAGCCTTACAACCTTCAGTGGTTGGAATCAAAAAATGCTTGAACTTAGTGCTTCGGGCCACTGGGTCATCTCTGCATTAGGCTTTCTAATAGGTAAGTAAGTTCTTTTCATGAAGGTGTACTATTATTTTAAGCTTATAAGTTATATGCCTTTCATTCAATTTTTTTTATCTCTTCAGTTTTGAATTTTGATATTTATATCACAAGTAGGTAAATCGAAAATTCCCCCCCATCAGGATGACTTAATTGATAAGATGTTTTACAATTGGAAATTTTCAGGTTTATCTCTTGTTGTCGTTTCCATCTTATTTGGGGTTGAAACTGCAAAGGGTTTTCGGTCCCTTCTCAACCGGCTGAATTTTACTAGTCCAGAAAACAGTATCTCTAAGATCACCTACAAAGTAAACAGCTATCATCGCCAACTGACAGTTATGGTGATGTTCTTGGTGGTATTGGGTATATTATGGGGTGTGAGTGGTGCATTAGTAAAGGCTAAGTTCAAGCATGGTGGCAGTGCTGCTGAGTTGTGGTTTGCTTGTATGGTTGGACCTATAGGTGTATGGATTAGATGGTTCTTAGCGAGGCTTAATGGGCGTGGGTTAGGAAAGGAAGGTTTGTTTCAATGGATACCATTTGGTACTCTAATTGCCAATGTATCAGCTGCTTGTGTTATGGCTGCACTTTCAACTATAAAGAATGCTGTAAGTTTCTTCGTCATCACTCATTATCTACTATCTAGTCCTCCATGCTCGACTTTCATTGTCTAATTTAAATTGTCAATCTATTAAACACTGACACTGGATACGACACTGATGATGCTGACACGTAGACATCGATAATAATGTGAAAACAGAAGTGATTGAATGTAACCACATGTGTAGATGTGTTGTCAATGTATTAGTTTGTGTCATCATTTATGACTTATGTAGTATTTGTGAACCTTGTCTTATATACAAACACAATTTTGAAGGTTACACTCACAACTAGCGTTTATTTGTTGGATGCAGGTGAACACAAGGGATTGTGATACTGTTGTAGCAGGAATACAATTTGGTGTGATGGGGTGTCTGAGTACTGTTTCTACATTTGCTGCTGAGTTTAATGCAATGGCAAAAACCAATCACCCTTGGAGAGCATATGCCTATGCTGCTATTACAATATGTGTCTCGTTCTCTTTGGGAATCTTAATCTTTTGCATCCCGTATTGGACAAAGGGATATGACATTGACACGTAACGATCTGCAATGCAACATTGTTTTTGTCACTTGGTGTGGTATGGCCAAAGATACCAATCTTTTTACATAGGAATTGAGAATTCAAAAAACAGCGATGTATGTAGTTACTGCCTTTGATAACAAGGTGGTGGTTGAGTTTGAATCCTCTACCATCTGCAGAAATGTGCAGCAGCTGTACTGCACGATACTACAGCAGATCCAGTGGTTTTAATTATAAATTTGCATTCTATTGTGACTGCTGATTCCATATAGTCACAGTTTCCACAAACTTTAACCTATGCTAAGCCTCATCACATATGAAGTTAGAAATTGAGCCTGCTGTTATTATGTTGAGTGGTCTTTTGCTTTAGGCATTTAGCATTATTTCTTACCTATGACTAATAGGTGAAACATCTAAGATCGGTTCGAGTTGTAAGAGATGAAGCCTGTTAAGCAAGTTATGACATGTTTGAATACATCATTAAATGAAAAAAGAATCTAGTTGCAAAGAGGAAAACTTCCATCTATCTCATAGGTACTAAAGAATTCTCTAAAGCTATTATTTTCCATTGCAGTCACAATACTCAAAACAGTTTATACAAATATCTGTATTGTACTTTGAAATTTTTATCTTGTTCTTTCAGATTTTAGAACATGTCTTTTTTTATTTATTATGTATGTATATACAGATTGAGTTTTCTTACGGTCACCAAATCACGCATTCACGCATTTTAAATACTAATGGCCGGTCACCAAATCACGCATTCTCGCATTCTAAATACTAATGGCCGTTTGATCAGGATTAGATGGTTTAAATTTAAGTTTGACATTTTAAATTAAAAAATAAAAATAAATAGTTATTTTATTAAACCATCAGATTTTGATCGGACAGCCATTAATGAGTTGAATGCATAAATGTGTGAATTTAGTGAATGCACTTGATTTAATTTCATGTACATACATGTAAATGTAAATTTTCTGTAGAAAAAGTGTGATGAAAATACACACATCGCTCAATAAGACATGTTTATACATTTACGTATTTTCATGTTTTTAATATTGAGATGAAAGTCGAAGATTATATCATCTTACAAATCACATAATTTAAATATTTTAGATATGTGATACAAAATGATGGAGAAATAAAATATGTAAATCTTCGAATTTAAACTAGATAGCTTAAAGGAAGAATGACTTTATGAATTTTTGTTGGAAAAAAATATCAATTAAAGCACTTAATACAAGGCCAATGAATAATTGAATATTCAAGGATCATAATTTTCTCACACTATAATAATAATAGCAATTATAAAAAATAGAATAATAAGAATATCTAAATAAATGAGAATACAAAAATAATTATTATAATTTTAACAAAAACAAATAATAGTTAAACACTCTTTGATTTTTCTCTAAAAAAACTTTCACTTTCACTCAAGTAATTATAAAAATAAACAAATGACGTTTTTATAGCCGATGCTGACAAGAAATAGGTGGATATAATATATAATAAGATTATTTTTTAAAAATTTATAATGTTTTTTTCCAAAAACTAAAATTTTCTTTGTCTTTTTTAATATAGCACTTTTTTGTATAAAAACGCTATTGAATGATTTGTATTGGAACTTAAATATAAAGTAGCTTCATGTTCTGCTTAAAAGGTTTTTTTTTTTAAAAATAAAATAAAAACTGAAATTTAGATTATTTTAACTGTTTTTTAAAAGAAGTATTATTTAATATTTGATTATTGTTTCATTATTTTTTATTTTTTATTAAACAGTTTAATACGTATAATCAAATATTTTGTAACATTAACTTATTATAACTTATACCAAAAAAAAAAAAATTATTATAACTTAAACATAGTTTGGAATAAAACATAAGCGTTTCAATAGAGATGTCTATTTTTTTTAAGATGAAAAATATGAGTTTCAATTGTTATTCATTACTTTGGTTGCTAAGGCAATAACAAGGCGTGGCTATATTGAAGAAATAGGTTGAAAGTATTTATATTGTATAGTTGTTGATAGGTATTAAATGTATATATACTTTCTTGAATATTTTTTTGATGAATAGTGGATCACTGAATTGTATGCAGAGTTGAATGTAGGTTGTACCTAACATACAAATTTGAATGATTATGATTCCTTATATATTGTTTTGATGAATAGTGGATCACTGAATTATATGCAGAGTTGAATGTAGGTTGTACCTAACATACAAATTTGAATGATTATGATTCCTTATATATTGTCTTGTTAGATTGATCATTTGTTGGATAGATTTGCTCTTATTTTAAAAATTGAAGGTAAAATTAATCAATCATTAATTCAATCACTAAAGGTGATGGAAGTTATGAGAGTACAAACCTTGGCTATTAACCAGCTGAGGGAGCTTCCACCGCAATTTATTCGTTCAGATAATGAAAGACCCGAGAACACAAAAGCATTGGATGGTGTTAATGTGCCTATCATCTCATTGTCTCAACCACATCATATTTTGGTGGCAAAAATAACTGAAGCTGCTTCTGATTGGGGTTTCTTTGTCATCATCGATCATGGTATATCGTCAAAACTCATCCAAAATTTGCAAGATGTGGGTCAAAAGTTCTTTTATCTACCTCAAAAGGAGAAAGAGGTGTATGCAAATGATCCATCTATTGGTATGTTTGAGGGGTATGGGACTAAGATGACCAAGAATTTAGAAGAAAAGATTGAATGGTTGGATTATTATTTTCATCTCATGTCCCCTCCTTCTCGGGTCAATTATGAGATGTGGCCCAAAAATCCTTCTTCCTACAGGTTAGTATGCTTACATTATCTACGAATTACATCTAACATTTGTGTAGTTGTTAAAAATATTGTCTTAAATTGCATTTGTGGTTATTTCAGTTGCGTTGTTGTGACGCGCATTGCAGATGTTCTAACTTAAAATAAAATAACCAAATTGGCAAAGAAACTATTATTGTATTATTTTGTGTGTGATAGGGAAGTAACAGAAGAATACAATAAAGAGATTTTAAGAGTGACAAACAATATCTTGGAGCGTTTATCTGAAGGGCTAGCATTGGAGAGTAATGCTTTGAAGTCTTGTTTGGGAGGTGATGAAGTAGAATTAGAAATGAAGATAAATATGTATCCACCTTGTCCACAACCTGAACTGGCATTAGGAGTTGAGCCTCACACTGATATGTCTGCTCTTACTCTACTTGTCTCAAATGATGTTCCAGGCCTTCAAGTTTGGAAGGAAAATAACTGGGTGGCAGTAAATTACTTGCAAAATGCACTCTTTGTGCACATTGGTGACCAACTTGAAGTAATAACATGTCACTATTTAATGAATTAAATCATATTATCAATGTTAACTCTAGTAAATTCTCTTTGTATTATTTATTTTTGTCATGATAGGTGTTGAGCAATGGAAAGTACAAGAGTGTATTGCACAGAAGCTTGGTGAACAAGGAACGCAAGCGCATGTCCTGGGCTGCATTTGTTTCTCCTCCACAAGAAGTTATGGTTGGGCCTCTTCCTATGCTCGTCAATGATCAAAATCCGCCCAAATATTCAACAAAAGCCTATGCCGAGTACCGCTATCGCAAATTCAACAAAATTCCACAATAGGGAAACGACAAGAATAAAATTTGATTGTAGAGTACACGGTTGTATCGTGTAATTAAAATACCATTCTAGGGTAGACTTTGTATTGAATATCAATTTCTTCTCTTTATGCTAATTAGCTAAAATAATTGTAATGAGACTATGATAGTTCAACAACATCAATTTTTCTAACTACCGGTATTAAACTTTTCAAAATAACATAAGCTAATGCAACCCTTTCCCTCTTTTAAAGAATGATAATGTACTTTAAAAATGATAATTATGTCGTGACAAAACTTATTTACAATGGCTACAGTTGCACATGAAGAACAAAGTAAAAACTATAAAAAAATGCCTAATGTGCTCATGACTAAGACAAAACATTAAAAAATATAATAAAATAAGTCTAATAAAATCAAATTAAAATGAATAATCCAACTATTAAAAACTCAAATATCTCATAATTAATGAGTTATTACACTTTTAAGTTTGAATCATTATTTGTTCTCAAGCGATACGATAAATAAAAATAAACATCTAAAGACTTATCCAAATTCAGTGGGTTGTTTCTCTGAAACTTACCCAAAGTACGAAACTCAGCATTCTCCCCATCATTTTGATGGTTCTGCTGATTCTGAGCTATTACTTGAACCAACAATTCCAAAGCTTTAGCAATTGCATCATCGTTCTTTCCTCCATCCATAACTCTGTTGATTCCAACAAACAAACATATCAACATCAAAAGAAGCAAAGTATCGACATTGTTCACATACACTTATCGCATACCAGGGAACAAACATCATGCAAAACTTGATCGGACAAACAGACCTACTCTGATACCAATTATGTAACACCCTATTTACCCTGTATATAATTATAACACATGATCCATATAATTTCACAAAATCAAATAGGATGCTACACATTCTCTTAAAACATGATTCACTTGTTCTAAAAACATTTAATTATATAGTTTTAAAACAATTAGATAATCAACCTCTGTCATCACATGCTCACCTTCACTTAGGATATCATCGCACCAGAATTTGAAATGTAAAGCATGCTACTCAATTAACTTTAAACTTTTAAAACACTTTTTAATAAGATCATAAACCATAAGTAAACTTTCTTCAAAACATCAAAACCTCGGGTAATGAGAGTATACATCAACTCTCTAATACATATAATAAGGTATAAAAGATAGACATTTCTCCAGTGTTACATATCAGAGCACGTGAAACTAAAACGCAAATGAAGGAAAACAAAGAATAGTCTCTCGTCATCCTTCCATCCTAAACAGCTACTTATGTTACCTGCTTATTTGTACCCCGGAGAGGAGCACAAATCACAACAACAAGAAAATGGATGAGAAAACACATCAATAAATAAAATTGCATATACTATAAGGTAGGATATAAAACATCTACTCATCAACAAAACAATCATATTCTCTCACTCACTTTATCATTAAACACATCATGCTCACAACATCTCATCATCACACACATCCAACATTCACATCTCAACCATTACCGATTATGCAATGAGAATTACAACATCGACTCGACTCAACTCATATGCATATGGTATCATATCATCAACAACCGGTTCACTCAGGAATCAGGTTCACCCTGCTCGAACTCTAAATCCACTATGCTCGGATATGGGACAAGTCACCAATCCACCCTACTCAGATTGCAACTTGCCTCTTTCATCAACAACGGTGACATCATAAATGCATTTCAAACATGTCAATGCAACACAACATAATGTTTAAAGTCTCCTCCCGACAATAAACAACTTGCATTAACCCACGATAATAATTCACCCTACTCTAACTTTTATCTCACCACACAATAACAATATCAATATCATGCAACATCAATATTATTCAACATCAATATTATTCAACATTTCAACATCACCTACTCACCATCAGCCAACAATCACAACAACATACTTATAAAATCAGTAAATATTCAATAGAAGCATAGTATAATCAGGCCCAACATCATCAACTTGTCTATACACAACCACATCTCATCAAAATTAATAAAATAAATTAAAATTATTTTAAATAATTTAAATCAAGTCAAACAGTCCCTAACACTATCCAACAGTAGCCAACAATTCCAAAAACTCAACAGAGTTGAAAATAATATTTTTATGAGTTCAAACCATCTCAACATAATATTTTTATTGATTTATTTTATACTCTTAACTCGTAAAAGGTTATAACTATTGAATTATGAGAGACTAAGAGACATTTAGGTTAAACTGTGTGTTTTGAAAAGCACTATAGACTTTATTATATATAGAGAGATTACAACTAATGTTATGATATAGTCGATATGGGATTATTCTACATACAAAACTCTTAACACTATATATATATATATATATATATATATATATATATATATATATATATATATATATATATATATATATATATATATATATATATATATATATATATATATATATATATATATATATATATATATATATATATATATATATATATATATATATATATATATATATATATATATATATATATATATATATATATATATATATATATATATATATATATATATATATATATATATATATATATCAACACTCTCCCTCAAGCTTGAGCATATAAGTCAAATACATCAAGCTTGTCACATATATAATTAATTATGGGACTTCGCAGAGATTTTGTAAACACATTTGTCAATTGATCATTCAAGTTGACAAAGCTTGTGGTGATGTCGCCTGACTCGATCTTCTTTCTGATAAAGTGACAGTCAATCTCAATATGTTTGGTCCGCTCATGGAAGACCAGATTTAAAGCAATGTGCAATGCAGCTTGATTATCACAAATAAATGTCATTGGTATTGCTTCTTCAATTTTAAGTTTCTTGAGCAACCGTTTTAACCAAACAATTTCACATGTTGCCATTATCACGGCTCTATACTCTACCTCGGCGCTTGATCTTGCAACTACATTTTGTCTCTTACTTTTCCAAGATATAAGGTTTCCTCAAACAAGTACACAATATCCAGAGGTGGATCGTCTATTAATTGGTGATCATGCCCAATTAGCATCGGAGTATTCAACTATTTGAGTATGTCCTTTATCTTCATACACTAAACATTTCTCTGTAGCACGTTTGATGTATCTCAGAATCCGGATAACAACATCCATGTGTTTCTGACAAGGGGAATTTAGGAACTGACAAACCACATTGACTGCAAAAGAAATGTCTGGATGAGTGACTGTGAGATAATTCAACTTTCCAATCAATCTTCTATACCTTCCTGATAGAGGCTCCCCCTGATTGGGTAGTAGTTTTGTTAGAACAAGATTGGTTCTGATCATATCTCATAGTTTTGATGATAACAATAACATACATTTTATATAATTGATACTCTGATGAGCATATTTATTTGTTTCAGATAATGTTCTGACTGGAGTATTTTTCCTAGATGAAAATCATTTTGACGTGCTGAGCTGAAAATATATGAAGAAGTTCTTTGATGAAAGAACTATTTGTTTTAGCGCTGATAAGAAGATTTGCAATTTCTGATGCTGACTCTGATAAGAAACTATTCTAATGCATCTCCTAAACGCTAGCAAGTTTCCATGTTAACTATGTTCAGAAGATTTCTGCAAGCAAGCGCTAATAAGAAGATTTGCAAGTTCTGATGCTGACTCTGATAAGAAACTAATTTATGCATATTCTAAAGCTTAGCAAGTTTCCATGTAAACTATGTTCATAAGTACTTTGAAAGCAAGCGCTGATAAGAAGATTTGCAAGTATATTCTGAAGCAAGATGTGAAGCCAGTTCTGAAAGAATAAAGAAGCTAACAAGTCTTGTCAAGTTTCAGGAAACATGCTCTGACAAGTGCCGTTTGTTCATTTAATGCAAAGACGGCTACATGCACTCAAGTGTCTACGCTAGTTCATTGGAAAATGCAATACTGCAAGCAAACACGCAAACATTAATTTCTCTCCACTTTTGAAGGCAGTAACAGTCATTTTCTTCATGCTATAAATAGAAGATCATTTATTGCAAACCAACAACCTAATAACGTGAAAATATTCTGCTGGTCACAAATTATTTTACAAACACTTTGTGCAAAACTAATCTTAGTGAAAAATCATGGTTTGTGATATAGCTTTCTAAGAAACAATTTGTTTCACTATCTGTAAAGATTTAATTCTTGTATTTGTTCCTTGAGAGACCAAGTTTTGTCACATTTCTCAAGAAGGCTAGGACTAGTTTTAGTCTTAGTGGTGTTAGTCACTTGTAAGTTTACTTGTGCATTGTATTATTAGTCACAACAATTTGGTTGTGTGATTGTAATCTGTTTGATTATAGTGAATTAAGTCCTTGTTAAGAAAGGCGAAATCACTTTGGCGGGTGGACTGGAGTAGTTTGAGTTCATACGAACCAGGATAAAAATAACAGTGTCTTTCCATTATTGTTGAGCCTTTAAGAAAAAAGAAAAGGAGAAACTTATTCAACCCCCCCCCCCCCCCTTCTAAGTGTTTTCTCACCCTTCAATTGGTATCAGAGCTTGACTTTGAGCGCAACACTTAACCGTGTCAGGAAAAGACCTAGAAAAAAAACACAAATGGCAATTGAACAAAACAACAATAGCTACAACAAACCTCCTGTATTTGATGGAGAAGACTTTGAATATTGGAAAGATAGACTAGAAAGTTTCTTTCTAGGTCATGATAGTGATTTATGGGATATAGTCTTGGATGGTTACACACATCCTATAGACTCAGAAGGAAACAAGATTGATAGAAAGATTATGGATAGACAACAAAAAGTTGATTTCAAAAATCACCATAGAGCTAGAAATATCTTTCTAAATGCTATCTCTAAAATGGAATATGAGAAGATCACAAATAGAGGTACAACACATGATATGTTTGATCTCTCAAAATGACTCATGAAGGAAACACTCAAGTGAAGGAGACTAAAGCTCTGGCTCTCATCCAGAAGTATGAAGCCTT